CACACACACACACACACACACACACACACACAGAGTCACGGGGAACGCGTGTTCGTTCTCTGAGATGCGGGTACCCGGCCGGACCAGCTTCCACCCCAGCCCCAGGCCTGCTCCTTTCCTTGAGAGCCACGCCCAGAGGGAACTCCCAGTCCCGCCGGCCCAGCCCTCAAGAGGGTGTCTTGCCAGTCCCTGAGCCTTTCCCGTCGGTTCTAGGAGCTCAATCTGGGAGGAAGACAGGAGTATGAAGTTTTGGACAAGAGACGAGGCCTGGACCCTGAGATGGGAGGAAAGCAGGTAGGCATTCCTGTCTCTGCCTGTGTGTGCCAGTGTGGGTGTGCTCAGCGGCCGCAAGGAGAGAGCTCCTCGGTGCCTGCGCGCTCTTGCCCCCTCCCCCCCACTCCATCCTATCCCTCAAGGGCCCTAGGGCCCTAGCACAGGTGGAGCCATTGCTTCCATGCCCTTCTCTTCCTCCCCCCAACCCCCCCGGGCTCCGTTCTGCATCGCAAGGGACCTCCTGTACGTGAATGTGACACCCTTGTATCCAAGGTCCACCCGCTTGCCCTTAAACTTCTTGTCCACCCTGAGATGCACACACAGTGGGGCCATCTGCCCCCCAAAGGAACAGATCTGGTGAAGAGGGCCATACGGGAAGGGCCCGAGGCCACTGGACAAGGAATTCTGGGTCCCAGGTACCGCTTGGAGCGTGGTGGGGCTCCAGGCTCCTAGTGGCTCTTGGCTGTGAGCTCCACAATCTGTGGGGACTGGAGGCTTAAAAGCAGGGCTCAGCCCAAAGGCCCGCTGCCCAGGTTTTAGGGTGGCCCTCCCTTGTTGTTTCTGGTCACACCTGTCTACCCAGCCCCCTGTGTCTGAGCCCTGTGCTGGGCCTGCCGTTGCTAGAGCGGACGGGCGGGGAGGAGAGGAGACCCTAGCAGTTTCCTTGGCCCCTGCCTTCCGGCCTCAGCTCTCCTCTTCCCTGGACTAGGAGGGGTGAGGAGGGGTGGAGACGGAGGGGTGAGCAGTGCTCCCTCACCGAGCAGTGGCTGGCCTGCTCCAAATGAAGGTACTCAGTACCTTTCCTTTTCAGCCAGAAATCCCACTTATAAGTTTGTGATACGTATGGCACTGTGTCTGCAAGGGGACACGCAGACTGGCTCTCAGCCGAGACCCCGCGGCCTGCCCTGGGCAGGGCTGGGCCAAGGAGGCCATGCGGGGAAGTGAACCCTGTGTGCAAGGGAGCGTGCAGTGTGCACTAAGAAGCAGAGGCTGAGGTAGAGCTGTGAGGGTGGGGGAGATGGGGGCAGGGCTGCAGGAGGGAGCTGGTGGGGGGCGGGCGGGCAGGTGGCCCCGGGGGTGCGGAGGGGAGGTGCAAGGAGGCCGCTGCAACCCTCCTGCCTTGGGTCCCTGCTTCTCCACCTCTAACCTTCCCCTTGTCTTCCCCAGCAGAGGAGGAGGAATCCTCCGGAAGTCGTGTACAATGTGAGTACAGGAGGGCAGGCTGGAGGGGGGCTCCTGGTGACGGCATCACTCCCTGCCCTGTGCCTTTGCCCCGCTTGACCTTTCCGTGCCAGATGCCCCACCTGCTCGCTGCCTGTGGCGGCTGGCTGTGTATAGAACAGCCTTCTCTTGCCTTCCCTCCCTCAGCCCCTGAGTCTGCCGTTGGAGTTTCCCTGTAGATGGCCCCGGGGAACGGCCAGGTCAGGCTGGACCAGTATAGGGTGGCAGGCCCCTCTGAGGGGCTCCTGCTTCTAGAAGCTGGAGTCTTCCTGAGTGTTGCCTCTTGCTCAAAGGTCAACCTCCCCCTCTGGGTGTGCATCTGACTGTGGTTTTCAGACTGTTGACGTGGGTCTGCCACGAAGCGGACCAGAGAGAGCTGACTCTCCTTCCTTCCTGCAATTGGTTGATCCACAGCCCGTGGTGTTGGCTGTGTAAAGAGACAGCTTGCTCAGATAAATGGTTCTGGGGGCTCCAGGGGGCCCTCGCATTGTCCACATTCATGTTCTTTGGCTAGGATTCCACATTTTATCTTTGAACCTAACCTGAGCTTCTCAGCTCAGTGCAAAGGGCTGGCAGCTCAGAGAAGAGTCCAAAGGGCTGAGGAGAAGGGTGAGGTTGGAGCTGGTCGGGGACGGAGATGCTTATGTGAATAAGGACTGGAGCTTTGATTGTGCGAGCTCCCCTCCAGTAGGGAGTCGAGAGGCATCCTCTTGTAGGGGAGCCCAGTGTCTTCTGCATAAGGTAGTGAAATCAGTGTCCCGTGCCCTCTTCTTTTCCAGGCACTGCAAAAAGACAAGATGGCGGAGGCCTACAGTGAGATTGGGATAAAAGGCGACGTGAGTGCTGCTTCTTGATTCCCAAGAATTGGGTCAGGATGGGGATGCTCCTCCCAAGGAGCTCCTCCTCCGCTTCCAGATGGGCCTGCTGTAGGCCTCTGTTCCCACCCGTTCGCCTACATTCCCCTTATCACCTGCAAAAGCCCCTGTGATGGTTGCCAAGGGGCGAAGCATTGGCCGTACTTAAGATGCTAAGGAAAGGCTGATGTTCTTTCAGGGACCGAGTCCCGATTGTAAGACACACTACGCTTTGTACGAGCAAGTCAAATTTGTCACCATCAGGAATTGCCGTGGTGTGCTCTGAGCCAGAGCTCAGAGCACTATCTGCTTGCCATTCCCTGTGAGCATGGATAGCAGCCAGGAATTCTGGGAGGGGCAGGGAGGCCCATTTGTTCCAGGTGACAAGCAGCGTGGCCAGCCCCCCACGCAGCCCGGGATCCTAGGACTCCGATGTCCGGGAGGGCCTGCATGGCTCACAGCAAACCTGGGCCCCATCGGAGACGATCCTCACCTTAGTCTTCGGGCCTCAGGACCTTTCTAGCCCAGGGGCAGGGGTACCGGCTGGGAGACCGTCACCTCTGATTCTCTGGGGGCCCCTGGAGTAGAGGCCTTGAGCCGGAGGCCGCTGCTGACTCTGTGCCTTTCTGCCCTTTTGTCTCCCTCCCACAGAACCAGCGGCGGAGAGGGAAGGGGCATGATGGCCTCTACCAGGTAAAAACGGATGCAGAGCATCCGGTCTGCGCTGCGGGCCCTCGGTCCCCGGGTGCCATCTAACCAGGGGCGAGGCTAGACGCCCACGTTCTGCTTGCTGGTGGCACCAGCTCTCGCCATCAGCCGGGCAGGGCGAACCCGAGGCCCCTGAACCGGCCGGGCCCTGGGGCAGGGCTGGGATGTAGCGATTGAAGTATGGCTCCCACGGTCGTGCCCACGGGAGCCCCCGGGGCACTGGCTACGGAGGAGCAGCAGCTGCGCAGAGGCCGTGCGGTCTTGCCAAAGGGTCGATGTAGGCCGAGGACGCCACACGAGCAATTTCCTGCCTCTTCCTGTGCTGCCCCACACCCTTGCAAGAAGCCTTGCCTGTGCCCCGGACCCTCAGACCTAATATGATGGGTGGATGGGTGGGAGAATTGAAGGAGAAAAAAAAAAGAGAGAGAGAAATAGCAACTTTAAAAAGAAAGTGTCGTAGTCAGGTGTCTGGTTTATGCAAATCAGTGTGAATGATTATGCAAACGAAGGAGAGCCAACCTATTTCTCTAAAATATAATCCCCAGCGGGATTTTATTCGGCTACTTCTGGCTCCCCTGGGCCGTTCACAGTTTGCTTGACGGGCTCTAAGGTGTCAGGCTGCCCAGCTTGCCTGAGTTCAGAATGACGTCAAAAGGGCCCCTAGAATTTTCCTGTGAGTGGCTTCCTGGATCTGTCTTCTGGACCAGGGAGAGACGTCGTAGTGGGACTGGGACCAGGACAGAGGACATAACTGTAGTGGGGTGGCCTGGGAACAAGGCCCGGGGGTGGGGTGGGGGCGGCTGAGGTCAGGGAGCCACTGTCTCCTTGTGACAAGTCCTGGCTTCCTGGAGGCCCAGGTGTCAGGGACAGCAGACTCTGGAGCGAACCCCGATTCCAGCTCAGTGTTTGGGGAGGGTGGGGGCTCTCCTTCCTCTTTGGTCCAACAGGAGGTTTCTCTAGGCCCCAGACACTGTAGGGCTCAGTGCTCCGGAAGCTAGGAAGAAGGTAAGAATTTAGCTGGAAAGGAGTTGCTTCCAGGTCATTCCTAGCAGGGCATAGAACATATTTTTTCTGTAGCCTTCTGGGGCCAGGCCCCTACCTGGGGCACGAGGGGATCGTTCCTAGGCCTCTGGAAGCCACTTGTTGGCCTCCAGGTAGCCTAGAGCCCACGCGGAGCTCTTGACCCACTTTTCTTTTCTGATTTGCTTTCACTAGGGGCTCAGCACGGCCACCAAGGACACCTATGATGCCCTCCACATGCAGACCCTGCCCCCTCGCTAAGAGCACCGGGCATTTCGCCAATCACAGGCCAGACCTGAAGACACCCAGATTGTGAAAGACACAGGATAAAGCGTTTATAACCCAGTTCACTCGTATTTCTTCACCACCCAAGTATTCCTTTTTAAGAATAGGACGCTTCGCGTTGTAACATTTGGTCACGTCCATTTCCAAACCGTCATGCACGGAACGTCGTCCCTGGACTCTGCAGGGGAGTGCGTTCCCCCAGGGCTGAGGCCCCGTCCTCGAGGAGCCCGTGGTGAACCCCGCAGGTTCTCGGGTCTTCTGGTTTGTTGGGGACTGTGGACAGGCCCCCGTCCTGGAGGCTCTGGGCTCTCACCTGGGAGACGGGTGCACACTCCTCACAGCCATGTTTGGTCCATGTTTTGTCAAGTCCCCAGAGAAACTCAAATGTTAGCACATATCCTAATAGGCTCTATTGTCCTGTCCGTATTTGAGTGGCTTTGCTCCTGCTGTAAATCCGGCGTCTGTTGTCAACCCGTGCCTTCATGTCAAGGTGACTTGTAACTGGGGCAAAGGGGCTGTCGTGCATCCCTGTGAAAGGTCTGTGCAGAGGGGACAATGGGAGGGGAGCCGGGGCACGTCCGCGGTGGATGAGGTGGGGAGGGGCAGGGGGTCATGGAGCCTCCGTGGGGGGCACGGG